AAAGTCGATGGCATATAATTAAAAGACCTGCTCGGATGTGGAGTGCTAAAGACTTGGGAAAGATAACGAAGACATGCATCATCTTACATAACATGATTATTGAGAATGAGCATAGTGAAGGCGTTAATCCAGAAGATTGGCGGGATGAAGGAGATGAACCCAGTGAAAGTGTTAATCTTGAGCATGATTTTACCTTAGTTATGTCCATGATGATAATCGAACAAAGTAAATACAAGACACATGGTTACTTTTCTAACGCTAAAATTGTTATGGACAATTGTCATGGACAACTTTGGGGTCATGAACCCCAAAGTTGTCATGAACCCTCCCATCACCTCATGCGTGAATTTGTGTTTCAGTGGTCTCATTTGAAATAATGGGAGGGTTCAAGACATTTTGGAATGCGAAATGAGATCCATAAGGTAGGTTATTATAAGGAGGATAAGAACCACTCAATGGATTAAGCTGATATGGAGGCTGAAACTGATGGCTTATTGGAGTAAATTGATTTGGAATTTGGTTTGACAGGTTAGCATGATTTGGATGTGGGGCGCTTGGGAACTGATTAGACCCTGGATCCATGCCAAATTGTACCTTTACAAAGCTAACTTTAATGTTAGAAATACACTGAAATGTCTGCATGTTAGTGACAATATCTCAACTCATTCTTGTTTTGTCAACATTGATTCAGAATGTTATTGCACTTTTGGACTATTCTAACATTATGATTTGTGTTATTCATATACTAATATCTGGTGTATCATTAAAATAAATTGTAAAGCGATAATTTGAGTGTTTCAGCAATCCCTGTTGCTTTAGAATTAAGAGTGTCATATATAAGTACACATTAACACATAAAAAACAGAGCTTGCATAGTAGGAAAGATTAAGAGATGATAATATACCAATGAGGCTTCGGGTTTGCATTGAAAACAAATTAAACAGAAACGAATATGCCCAGAAGTGAAGTACCTATCTAAATCATATCAATGCTCTTATCATACTGTACTTGCGACTCTCTGTCACTCCAAGTACAATTAGCAAAGTTCAATGTTTCAAATATTAGTGTGTTAGTGACGTACACTTTGTCGTTGTGTGCACTCAAATAAATATCAACACAACACTAATACGTAGTATAGGTGAAGTAGAGTTCGTATCGACGAGGAAAGGAATACTTTTCTTTTTATGAAATTAGTAATTAAAGGGGTTTTTTGGTGTTGGATGATTTAATTTAAATAAAAACTAAGATGAACGACTTATATGAGATTTAATTCAAAGATAAAAAGGACTTGACATTCCTACTTTCCACTTGTTGATATATTTTAGTCGATCATTGTTATATCTATGACTTATCCCCTCTCGAATACTCAATCGAGGAGTATATCCAATTCATCGAGGGTAGTTATTAACAACAACCGTTCATTAATAACTCTTACTATTAGTCAAGTATAGAACACCGCCTTATACCGACTTGATAGTAGCATTTAATCTCTTAACTCCTTGATGAAATCAATTGAGATTGATAACCTCAACACAACAGTTTCGGTTTAACCAACAAAATTAATCCCTCTTAAGTTTATTAACCACGACCGTGCATTAATAAACCGAAGTTACTTGTGAAACCATCAACGATTAACCATCGGTTCGTTGAACGTTTCTAGTTGTAATTAATGTTGAGATGTTAACTAATTGTCATCTTAGCAACACTTCCCAACATTAACATAGAGATAGATTAAGGGAAGAATTAATATTCAAGGAAGAAGATTAAAGATGAATAATCCTACTACAACTAATGTCAAGATGTTATCTAATTGTCATCTTAGCAACATTCCCAACATTAATATATAGAGGAAGAAAATAAATACTATTATACTTAATGTCGAGATGTTAACTAATTGTCATCTTAGCAACACTCTCCAACATTAATATATAGATAGATTAAGAGAATAATTAATATTCAAGGGAAGAAGTTAAGAAAATAACTCACAACTAATAATCAACAAGCTTCAAGAGCAACACCAAGAAATGGAAGTTTAGCACCTCATTTGGAGACTAAATTGAGCTTAAGAGTATTGAAGAAGGAATGATTATTTGTGAAGGAAAAGTGTGCTATTTATAGGTGTTTTTCAACACCTTGGGTCGGGTACCCGACCGGGTCAAGTGCCTACCCGACCGGTCCGGTCAAAATCAGATATCCTCCACGCTCTGGTGATCTTCGGCACGTTAAAATGTCTCGGGTCAAGTCAGACCCGACCGGGTGCAATACCTCACCCGACCGGGTGATTGTAGTTTCCAGACACCTTCGCTTTTCAATGTCTCGCCCGACCGGGTGCAATACCCCACCCGACCGGGTGATTGTCCTGGGCAGCCAATAATCATTTTTCTTCACTTCAAAGTCTTCCTTTCCAACACCATAAATCCTAACTCTACTTTATAACTTACAAATGAGAACTAAAATACAATTACAACTAAAATCACACAAATGTTTACAAACTAAATAAAATGGTAAACAATCCACACAAATCAAACATAAAAAGATACATTTATGCACTACTAATTAGTGCATATCAAACACCCCCACACTTGAACCTTTACTCGTCTCGAGTAAATCAAATACAGCCAAAGAAGTCCTTAAAATGACAAGAGTATCAACACCAACATCCACGTGTGTTTTTAGAACAACACAAAAAATATCCCAAAAAATGTAACAGTAAAGAGGGGTCTTCAACTCCATATTTCTTATCAACCTCAACTTTTTTTTTCATCGTTACCCTTATGATCCCGCAGAAATAAAAGAAAATACTTTCTCTCATTCTCTCATTTTACCTAGGTGTCCTTTCTGGTTTTCATCCTAGCTTCCCACATTTTTCTGTTTTAATCCTCACAACTCACTCTTATTTTTGCTTTATTTTTGCTCAAGTTGTCTTTTCAGGTTTTCAACTTAACAAGTTTTTTTTTTTTGAAAAAAAATACAAGAATATAGAGTATGAATGTGAGTTTTCCATGAAATTCTCCCCCCCAAGCTAATCAACTTTTGTTGTTTGTGGAGTAAGGGGATTTGAATTTTTGGTTATTTGGGAGGTTTTTGTGAGTGTAGTGCGTCAATGTATGGAGTTTAGTAGTGAAGAGGGTGATGAGGAGTTGAAGAAAATGGTTTTTTTTATGGATTTGGTGTAGAAACAGAGAAGATTCAAATGTATGGGGTTTGAAAATGGTGTTTTGGCGGAGTTGGTTCGTGTTTGCAGAAGATGAAATGAGGAAGAAGAGGATGTCATCTCGGTTTTTGTGGAAACATTCCCGACGCTCGACCGGGTGGGGTAATGTACCCGGTTGGGCCTAACTCCCGCTTATCCAGAATGTTTTTGTGAAAAATGCCCGGCCGGGTGTATTAAAGGTACCCGGTCGGGTAATTTACTCCAGGGGCCGGGTTTTGCCAAAAAAAAATTTGCCCGGGCAATTGTTTTATTTCCAGATGCCTTTTATCATGATCATCCGGGCGGGTGGAATAGATCACCCGATCGGGTATAGTCTTAAAACATTTTTTTTGAAAACGTTTTAAAACACACACACTCACATGACTAAATAAGAAAACATAGCTTGCATGGGTTGCCTCCCATGAAGCACTTTGTTTAACGTCGTGGCTCGACGATATCTTTGTTGTTCAATCTTTAAAATTTGGATCGTGATGATCCATCTTTTTCACATTTTCACTCGGGCGCATCTTATAGAAAAACTCAATTTGTCGACCCTTTATTTTGACAATCTTTCCGGGATCAAATATCCGGATTTCTATCGCTTCATACGGTGAGAGTGAGGATCTATGATTTTCACTTAGCATGGTAAATGGAAGAGGTTTTGATCCGGGTGGTATAAGAGGGAGTATGAAATGTTTGTGCAACTCCACCGTTATCCCCTGCATATTTGTGAACGAAGAGAAATCTAAATGATACTCACAATTGCAGAAGATTTCGTAGAGGTCTTTGTCCTTCTCCGCCCTTTGTATTTCCTTTAGAGGCTCAGGAAATGGTGGCATGATCTCAGGAATGGCGGGTGGTGGAGTTGAGTTTTGAGGTTTCTCCTCCTCTGGTTGAGCTTCCTCCGTAAGCTCCTCTTCTTCTTCCTCCTCGCCAATGTGCTTCACAATGTTTGGAACTTGTTTCAATTGATTCTCCAAGTTCAGTTCTTTGAGCACTGTTTCTTGCGGGTATTGTGACATATCTTATTGCATTTTTTTCACATTGATAGTGAGAGCTCGGATCATGTCTTCAGTGGACATGCTGGAATAAGAACTTGAGTATGAGTTATATGTGTTGGAGAATGAATCATATCTCTCTTGGAAACCAACATCATTACTCTGTTCAAAGTATTCTTCTTGAAGCTTTGGGAAAAGAGTAAAGAGAAAAAATTATCGTACCTCTCTTTACGATCTCACCACCTTCAGGGAAAAAATTGGGAAAATTTTCCAGAAGAGTGAGTTAAAGAACGGTTGTGATAATCGGTGAATTCCAAAAGCTATTTTCAGGTTTCCCTCCACTTTTTCTACGAACCGCGCTATTTTGGGATGTAATTTATCCGAGTCAGCAAGTTAATCAGGCTTTCTACACTCAAACAGGGCTCTTCACACCGCCTGCTATTTTTTTGCCAGATCACTAAGACAGAACGTGTGAACTTCCAGCATCGGAAACAAAAATATATACAGTGTCAAAATTGTATATGTGGCGCACTACTCCCAGACTAAACAGGACCGCATTGCGGTTGCTCTAAGTGAATGAGTTGAAGAATAAATATAGGAATAAGGCGTGATGTTATTCAATTATTCAATCAATAGTCAATTGCTTACAAGAGCTATTGAGAATACTTTACTTTGCACTATTTGATTATTTTTCTTGTTTTGGATCGGTTTATTGTAGATTCATATTTGCACGATTCCCATTCAAATAATACTTTTTAGATTAGTTTATTTTAGCATAAACAATGGGAATAATTAATTAAAGAAGGTGAGTTGAGAAAGAGATGGCGGGCGGAGGACGGCAAGGGAACGCCCATCATGACATTCCATTTCATGATGAGTGAGTTTGACGGAGTGTGAGACGGTGACGGGAAAAGAGAAAATTGAATTGAGGGAAAAGGGATATGCGCGTCCGTATTTCGCGTCCGTGATTGACGACGCCCAAGTGGCACCCGGTATATACAATACAAACCCTCGCTTATCATTACCCAGCTCATCTCTCTGCTTATCCTCTCCGATACAGAACTAAGATGGCGAGATTCGCAGCAATCTTTGCTCTCTGTGCCCTCGCCGCCACCGCCCTCACTGTTTCCGCTTGCCGCTTTCCTCTTAATGTTACGGGCAGAGTCTACTTAGACACCTGCAATATGGGCTTCGAAACCACCGAATCCTTGTATACCCATGGTAATTTCCTCGTCACCTCTTGTACTTGCACTGATCCGATGTTTGTTCGAGTCCACTCTCTCTCTAGTAATGCTCTTTGGATTAATATGGCCAGATCTAGTGTAATAAGACTTGAACTGCAGCAGATCTAGCTAATCTTTTATTCTGTGTGTCAATAATGGTGTTGCAATTGTTACGTGGCAGGTTCATCTGTGCAATTGGAGTGCAAGCATCGGAAGACCGGTAAGACCGTCCACAATGACACCGCCGTTACCGACGAGGAAGGAAACTATAGCTTCACTGTGATGGAAGACCAGGGCAACGCGCGATGCCAGGTCTCCCTTGTGAACTGCACACATATTAATGCAGCGGGAGCAACTCTTGGCCGCGACAGCTCCCTGGTTTCCCTCACCTGCAACAATGGCATGGCCACCAGCCAACGCTTAGCCAACAACCTCGGAGTCAACGTCAAAACCACCCTGCAAAACTGTGACCAGATCGTCGCCCAGTACCACCTCGATGATGACAATTTCTAATCAGTAGATGGTTTCCCCCATCTACAACTACTACTACACTGTTCGTTGAGCTAATCTCCCCCCTCACTCTTGCTTCCTTTGCAATAGTAATCTCCTGCCTTTGGATTTACACTCTTCTTTTTCATGTTTTCCTCCACTTATGCCGCCTTGTTGTTTCACTTGCTTGTGCATTTGTAATGTTAAAAATTCTGTATCACAGATCAGTTGTTGGTTATATTCTTTGGCCAAGTTCTGTACTTTGTTGTTACTCACATACATGAATGCTGCCTGCCAGCAACCTTGGGCTCTTGTTTAAATATACTACGTATTTGTTTTAACAATTCCACCAATAATAACATATACGAAGTATTTATACGAGTATATGATATCGTTAAAGTAAATTGTTTCATATCCGCTTCCGATTCACCTGCTCTTCCATTTACTTTTACTTTGGCCTTTTCAGTCTTGTTTTAGCTCAATTGGTAAAACTATACTGGGCTAGCATGAATTCAATCATAGTTGATCTAGTGTTATTTGCTAAACATTCACACAAATGAATGATGATCATGATTATTCAAGAGTCAAGACAATACAACAATTGCTTAAAACAATAGAATTAATTACACAAGCCTTCTTTTCTTCGCATTTGATGCATATTCATGTGGGTTCTTATTCAAACCAAAAATCTCATCCCCATCATTATTGTTTAGTCGAATCTGGTTGAAGAATATATTTTATCTTTAAATAAATACAAATTACTTATATGCATGTGACTTTGACATCCTGCTACTGTGGAGTATAATATGGAGTCAGGAGTATAGCAAAACATATTGCATGAACCACAGTAACCTCTTAAGATGTAAGGCACACAATTACGAGTGGCTGTTTTACTTTCTCAGTCATGTCATTTATAAGAGACTTGTATCAGGTCGCTACAACCTTCTTTGGGTGTTGCCTTCTACACGTTACATTCTTGTTCAACCAAACCTTTCCTAAATACTCTTCTAACCCAAGGAGCTATACTCCCGAATACGGTGAGGTATAGTGCCCAAGACCCTACAAGTGTTTTCCAGAGATTCAGTGAGCGATCTATATGATTTATACTTCTATAGACACTAGTATAAGTTGTTGATTTTGTTCAAGCATCTCAACATTGAGAGTTGAGACTGCTTGTACTGACTTTTTGTATTCTACATCTCCACGCCTTCTCTTGGGTTCAGTTTCTAGCACTTAAGTTCGAGGCAATCTTGTAAGCAAAAGGTCCATGTATGTACCACACTACCAGGTGTATATTTCACCCTCTATCAACTAGACTGATTGTAACTTAATCTAATCCTCTCAGCAAACTCTCAGTCCATTTCGTGGGTTCTCGATTTTCTTATGTACAAAGGCTTACCTTATACGAGTGATAACTTGGATGTCATGAAAATCACTAGGAAGAAACATTGTTATGTTGAAAAAGAAACACATACCATTATTTTAAATAGAATCTGGGCCTAAACCTAAGTTTACAATCCACTTTAGAAGTCATATATATTTTCCATGTTATCTGTTATTTAAAAAAATGTTTTTTACATTTAATTGACCTTTGTAAAAAAACTAAGTTATACAAATGGACTTCAACATCAATATTTGAATTAGGATTTGGACCTAAAGTTTAATATCTATATTTTTAAAATCAAAATACCATTTCCTATGTTTGTTTATAGCCATAGCTAACAATTAAGGTGTCTTTTGTAAAAAAAAAAATGAACTCGTACGAATGCACTTGAACATCACTGTTTAAATTATAATTAGGAGTTAAACACATATCCCAGTCTTCTTATAGGTAAACTAAACTTATTTAGAATTTTGACTTGGTACTGGACTACTGGGAACATTCTCTCTGATTTAAAGAATATTGTTATTGTTAAAGTGTAATTACCAAAAGAACGTGCATTAGTCCATACTATAAATAAAGCACTGGACTGAAAATAAGTTTGCAGTCCATTCTTCCATTTTTACTCTCGTTTACCTAACTTTAGTTTGACTAGTTAACTGCTCCAATAAATTGGTATCAGAGCTTCGTTCCAACTGTGCGATATTCTGAGACGAAGAATGATCAAGCGATGAACAACAATACTTTCCCCGCGAATCTCCCTATTTTGGATGACAAGAACTGGAATCAGTGGTCGGTACCAATGAAAGTCATTTTGTGTACCAAGAAGAAAGCGAAATAGAGGAGGACGGATATCCAGCCATCTCGGATACATCCACAGAGGCATAGAGAATTGCGTTCATGGAAAACATGAAGAAGGATTGCAAGGTGATGTTCTTGATGCGTCAATGTGTTGACAATTCACATTTCGAGAAGATTTCCAATATTGCGACTGCACGTGAGGCCTTGGAAATTCTGAAAGCTTCTAATGAAAGAGCAGAACAACTCAAGAAAGTTAGGTTACAAACGTTGAGGCGTCAATACAAATTGATGCATACGGAATCAGATGAACGGGTAGTTGTGTACGTTGATTGAATAATCAGCCACACCAATGCCATGAAGAATTGTGAGAAAAAGTCACTGAGCAGTCTATGGTAGAGAAAGTTTTGAGAACCCTACCACCAAAGTACGATCATATAGTGGTCACAATTGAAGAAGCTAAAAAGTTGGAAACCTTGAAATTGGAGGCACTTCAAGGTTCCTTGGAAGTACATGAACAAAGAATGTTTGAAAGAATCCCTGAGAAATCTATAGATTAAGTTCTACAGGCCCAAACCTTCAAAAGGGGAGGATACTCTAGGAGAGATGGAAATAGAGGACGTGGAAGAGGCGGGGGGGGGGGGGGGGGGGGGGGTTCTAAGACTTCTCAATACCAAGATTCTGAGAAATATGGCCCAGAGAAAAATGGACATGCTCAAGCGGAGAGCAGTTCTAGAAAAGGAGGAACTCAATCTTGGAGAGGAGGAAAGAAAAAGATTGATAGAAAGAAGATCACATGTTTCAATTGCAACAAGATTGAGCATTTTTCAAATGAATGCAAAGCACCTCTGGGACATAATGATCATGAGAGAATGGCACATGAGGAAGCAAATGTGACCAAAGATGATGGAGGGGTAAATTCTGATGATAATCATGTAATACTTATGATGTCGACAAATACTAATTCAAATAGTGTTGAAAGATGGTATATTGACTCTAGATGTTCCAAAGTTAATTTTGCTGATAATAGGACTATAATGGCTGAGGGGACTGGTGACATACTGATCAGTGATAATACTGGGAAGAAGGTGGTCATTCCAAATACGTTTACAAATTTATTATTAGGTTATAAATGAAAAATAAAAATCATTTTTGTTTACAAATACTTAATTTTTTAAATGAAAACGGGACAAACTTTTCCCTTCAATACTTTACCTTCACATAAAAATATAAAAAGATAGACTAACCCAACTGTGCAAGTGTCGATCACCTACCGACTACCGTACAAACACCGTACATGTGTTTATTTCTTTCTAACACTCGGTGTATGGAGTGTACACGCTACATGACATAAAAATCATGGTTGTAAGGAATAAATTGTATTTAGAAAATCATGGTTGTAAGGAATAAATTGTATTTAGATTTTGATGATTCTAGTCTAATTAGGATATTAGAGTACCCCTTTAGAAAATTGTATTAGAACATTTTCTAGTGTAAGTACAAAAAGTATTCGACGGACCAGAACTGATAAGGTCTTCTGCCTCACCTTATGGACAGAACTGCTCAGAGACTTATGATGACTTGGTTCTCTATAGAAGTGCTCCCAGAACTGCTAATCCTTAGAAGTTCTACTGAAGTCGTTAAATTAACGGGAAATTCTCTAACTACTAGGAGCCTCTCAACGGAAGTACTACTTTTCAACGCATTAAATGCTCATTTAATGCCTTCCACTCGTTGATATATTTAAAGCGCATGATTGACTGAAGAATTCAGACGAATATTATTTAATATGCTCCAAAATAGTAAGTTGACTACTTTGCGGGAACCAACCGGTCAACTCAACTGTGCAAGCATTTAATGAAGATGTTCTCTACACTCTAACGGAAAGACATCTTTCAGTATATATGATACTACTCGAAGTACTGGTAAGAGAAGTTTTCTTTTGAAATCAAGCAAACAAATACCTTTTGAGAACTCATCTTCCCGATTCAACACAAGAGAAAGCTACAAAGTTGGAAAAGAAAATTACTCACATCCTTCAAACCAAAAGAATGTTCCCTCCAGTGTTTCAACAAACTTCGAAAGCTTCATTCTCATATCTTTCACGGAGAAAGTTGGAGAAACCTTTTTATACCTTTCAACGAGATCTTCTTGTTTAAGAAGGATGCCTAAAAGTAACTTGAGTGAAGTGGTGATACTTCAAGCAAGCTCAGTGAAAAAGGCCAGTCATCAGGAAGCTAAGAAGAGCATCTCGGGTGACAACTAGACTTGAAGAAGACGTGGAGTGCTTCTTGAGTGCTAGGAACTAAGTGTTGTATCTTGATCATTTACAAGCTTAGTGGAAGAGTAGGATTAGAGGATCAAGTTGTTCCTTGATTACTATAAAATCTCTAATGTCATTTACTTACTGCTTTTATTATTTGCACTTAGGATTAACTGTTTTACTCATAAAGGCTTGGACTTCGTGTTCAGCGAATCTTGTCTTAGAGGAAACAGAAAGGCAAAACTGCCTTAGTGTGTTTGTAAGGCTACCCGACCAGAATACTTATCCGCTGCAGGTCAGTTCTGTTGAAGAACTTGACCAACTCTGTGACACTTAATGTTGTCTCAGAAAGAATTTTTAAAACCAGGACAATCTATTCACCCCCTCTTGACGGTCTCATGTATAACCGGGACCAACAGTGGTCTTTAAGTGTTAGAGATAGATATACATGTATATATAGCGTAGCATTCTCATCAGGCCAGCATGACAACACCCTCGGTCCGACTGAGGCCATTTGGAGCCCTTCGCAGTAGAATTTTTTGATGAATTTTTTTGAACATGTTCTTCATCAGTTTTCTTGATCATTTTTTTAAATAATATATTTAACTGCCTTTTCGATTGAATTTTTAACTGAAATTTGGCTAGACTTGATGAAGAACAACAACAAACAACAACATCCAAATCTTAGTTCCAAAAGATATTGGGGTCGGCTAACATGAATCGATACATGATATCACCGCCAAAAGGATTAGAAAGAAAATAAAGATAAAAAAAACTATGATAAAAAGATAATATAAAAAGAGATGAATATACATAAAAATGATAAAATAAAAAGGATACAAATAGTGCTTAAAATAAAAAGGAAAAAAGGATATATATATATATATATATATATATATATATATATATATATATATATATATATATATATTTATCCATATATATATATATATATATATATATGGATAAAAAACAAGGAAAAAAAGATGAGGGGAAAAGATGATACAAGATCACTCGTCCACACGAATACCCGCCCTCCACTTAGCTCTCTCCAAAGTCATGCCCTCATCCAACCCCAAAAGAAGCATATCACTTCGAACTCCCCTAACCCACGTCTATTTGGGTCTTGCTCTCCCTCTTTTCCCCGCCTCTTCTCCACACATCTCAACTCGTCTGACAGGTGCATCACTCGGTCTTCTATGCACATGACCAAACCATCGTAGGCGCGTCTCCCACATCTTGTCTTCAATAGGTGCTACTCCCACTATTTGTCTGATTGTCTCATTCCTCACGCGGTCCTACCTAGACTTGATGAAGAACATGGTCAAAAAATCCCACGGGGAAGGGCCCCGAATGGCCTCGGCCGAACGGCGAGTGCCGTCAGGCCGTCCTGATATGATCTGTCCTATATATGGAGGGAGTATATATATACACATATATATGTGTATATATACTCCCTCCGTATTTGGAAGTTCTCTACAATAGGTTTGGTACAACATTTAATGGTGAAATAGTAGGGGTAATGAATAGTGTAGAGAAAAGTAGAAGAAAAGATGGAAATGTATGAAAGAAAAGATAAAAAGTAGAAAAAGTAAGGGTAATCAAGTATTTTTAAAGAAAAAACTTACCAAAAAGGGAAAGTGTGGCAAACTTTTAAATACATCCGAAAAAGAAAAGTCTAGCAAACTTTAAAATACGGAGGGAGTATTATATTATATATACTTCGTATATACTAATTTATTTATTTATTTACATGTAAACGTGGATGTTTGCTTAAAAAGAATTTAAACGTGGATGTTTACATTTACTAATTTATCTTTAAATATAGTTATGGTTCATTATGTTTAAATTTAGGTTTTTAGTTATAACAACTAGCTCAACCAATATAATACTTTGTGCTTGAATTTTAAGTTTTAATTATAGTTTTTCGTGAATATTTTTGTGTAATTAAGTATTTTTTGTATATGTGGTGAGAGAGACCCATAAACATTATAAGTATATTAATACTTTTTAAAATTTATGAGTATAATAATACGTATTATTTTAGAAGTGTTAATTATTTACTTCCTCCGTTCTGTGATTTTTGCACTGTTCACAGACCTTACTTTGACCACGATTTTTTACTAATATACTTAATCAATTTATTACGTATAAAATGTTATTAAATTCCTATCAATGTGAATTTCCAAAATATCAAATTCTTATAATGTTTACTAATACATAATTAAATATAATTACAGTCAAAGTTGTGTGTTGGCAAACGTGAAAGTCAAACCATTGCAAGAATTAAAGAATGGAGGATAGTATATAATTTTGTAAATTTTAAGGTTATCCTGAGCCGGGCGGTCCGGTGGACTATCCATCCCGCTCTTACAGGTGGGTATGGACACGTGGTTAGGCCCGTTTGTTGCAGGCCAGGCCCGCCACATCAATGGGCAGAAAAATTAGAAAAAGCTCGGGCTGAGCCTACCTCGAACCCGTTTTTGTGCAAGTATACTTTCTAAGTCTACGTTGGTATATTTATCCTCATCCATACAGCTGGAGTTACCCTGTGATGAATTAAATACAAGAGGATACTAAAGTATTGTATCTTTAGGTCATGGAATTGTAAAAACCATTTTTGTAGATTCTTTAGGTTATCCTTTTTTCAGAATTGTTTGAATTGGATAAGTTTCAGTCCCCCAATTTCTTTTTTTGTACTTTTATTTATTTTATATATTTCATGTATTTGGAAAGGGTATGCCCTTTCTAGAGAGGTTTTGGTCTAGTCCTCATCTTCTTCTGCTTTCTATTTAATAAAATTTGGCAAATGTTCCCTAGCATTTGCTCCTAGGTGATTTGCCTTTTGAGTCTAAAACAATAATAATAGCGGTGGCGGCGGCGGCAGCAACAACAATAACAATAACAACAACAACAACAACAACAATAATAATAATAATAATAATAATAATACTCCCTCCACTAGGATTGCCCCATCTTTATTTTTCGGTCCGTTCCACTAAGATTATCTCATATCAAATTCGGTAAAATTTGTATGTTTCTCAATCATTCTTACTTTATGATTAGTTTATTAATTCAATATTAACACATAAATTCACTTTTCTTAATAACCACACCTCTTCCTCTTAACTCTTGTCCTAATGTTGATGAGACGGAGGTAGTAGTTTGGATTAAAATGTATAGTTGGGTGGAAACGGGAGGTTTAGAGATGGATCCAGCCATCATAGTTTTAGTTCGAGACTCTAGAGATGGATCTAAACGGGAGGTTTAGATATGTAAGTAAGATACATCTTAAAGATTGTAATATATATAATGATATGAACTACTTGCTATTTTAAGGATGATTGATTGGCATACAGTACAAAAAAAACAAATGTAAAAACATTAAATACATGATTAAGCATCTAAAAGTTATTTTGATTTAGAAGACTAGGGGCATGCACATGTATTTAATGAAGTGGCAAGCTTTTATCTCTTCATGTGAGCAGCACGTCAAACCGGAAAAAACAAGGAAGACAATAACATACTCCGTATTTAATTAATTAATGAATAATAGTTCTTGGATACTTAATTATTACTCTATTAGTCACGGTAACATTATGTATAATGTGTTCATAAAGGACCGAATAATTTCCATCACAAATATGACTAACATGCAAGACTCTTGAACCCAAAAAAGGTGCATCCATCTTAAAACTAACCTGATAGACTAACAGCTACCATAAATCTTTCGTGTGCAATTACGTGACTCTGAAAGGATATCATACCCCGCATGCAGAACCTAAAATAAAAAGGATGAAATATAACATTCCAGATTAAGATAGAGATTGAGGAAAAACAATTCAGCCAGAGAGACACATCTAATGTGGAATGCCTTAATATATAAGCAATAAAAGCCCAAAAACCAGTCTTTTGTGCCACTAAAACCATTTTATATGGGCAAAACAACGGTGCTGTAATGACAACAGAAATGTAATCCACCCCCAACAAGACTGAGCACCATCAATAGACCTTGATTTGATGGAGTTCTCAGGTTCAGTAATCCAAATAGACTGACGAATGACATCAATTCTTTGCTCCCCAACAGCATAGAACATAAAACTTATAAATGGGGAACACTATACAATTATATAAACTAAAGTATTTGCAAATGCCAAGGGAACTAAGGTGTTTAATTTACAAACTAAAACAAATCATATGCAATTTCAAAGCACAGCTGCCGAATAAAACTCTAAAACTTGCATGAGAGAGCATTTCATCTACAGTTCTTTTCATGAAAATATGAGTCCTGAGAATTCCTAATCTTTTATTCCCCTGTCTTGGCAAGTGATTAAAGTTTCTTGTTGAGGGCTTTAGTTCTTATATTAAAAGGCCCTGTCATAAGAAGGCCTCTCAAAACTCCGAAACTGAGATGGAAAATTAATTACGAATTAAGAACGAATGCGAAATGCCGATCAAGGGCTTTGACGGCGCGGCATGCAAAATCTGACACGAAGACAGCAGGTGTCAGTCTTCTGGAGCCTGCGATTCCCTCGAGGCTACCCCTTCCAATTTATAAACCCACTTCTCACTCCCCAGCCATTCTCACCCAACCTGAATTTCTCGTTTGTAATCTCTCCCCCACTTTCTTTCTAGCGTCAAGAATGGCTACGAATGAACATCCCCCTACCTTTGAAGTGAATTCAGCCGGAATTCAGAACTGGCCTGGGTCTGAAAATGGACCTGCTGCTCTTGGGAGGACTAACCGACGTCAACGGAGATGTGGACGGGAAAGGAGGATCCGAATAGCAGCAGACTGCGCCAACCGGGTCTTCCGCCTGACCAGGGAGCTCGGATACAGTACGGCTGGAGACACCATAGAGTGGCTGCTCCGGCAGGCCGAGCCAGACATAATCGCTGCTACCGGGACAGGAACTGTCTATGCGAATGCGATGGAGAGCACCAACACCCCCCACTTGATGCGCTACGAGTACCCGACCACCGTCCCCGGGGCATGCGGCGCACTGTCTTGCTACCCGATCTCGATCATGGCACCGATGTCATTCTCCGCCGGGACGGAAGCTTATTCCCTCGCTTCTGGTTATATCTATCCGGGCAGCAGCTACCAGCAGTAGAGCTGCTCAACTCGATTTGGATTTGCTGTCGATGAGTAAAAAAAGAGCGAGACGGACGGCATCAAAAATGAAAAAATTCTTCTTGGGTGAAAAGTAAAATTGTATGAAATTGGGTTGATAATTTAAAATTAAAATGTTATCCTGGAGTATATATTAGTAGTATAATTAGTACTCCTATTATACTCGGTATTTGTATTGATATGAAAATATAGATACTAATCATCGAGTCCTTTTCTAGATTTCGATGTGTTGGTTACATCGAATAGAAGTTTTTCGGACTGAAATTTGTTGATCTGATCTATTCTATTTATATTGGATTTGGTCGGAACTGATCTAGTCTGGTTTATTAAATATCTAGTTGGTTTGATCTGATCTGTCTGGGACTGAAAAACAGTCGAAATAAAAACACCCTGAATCAAAATTATAATCGAAATATTTCATAAGTGGAGACAATATAATGGCTTCTTATGGTTCAGTTTTTGGGATTTAGGGTTCATGCGATAATGCTCAAATTGATGTAGTCAAGCTAAACATGAAATCTGTGAAACTCTAATAATGGTTGCAATATGCGCTCGAGAAAAGTGGTTTTTGCAAATAATTTTGAGACGAAGGAAGTAGTTAATAGGAGTATGACTTATAAATCGAAAATATATGTTCCGAAGACTTTTATTTTCTATTTTGCCTTTTTAAGATTTAATAACTTTTTTAATGTTATTTTTAAAAATTAGTTAGTAGTTAGTATTTCTAAAGGGAAGACTTGAAAAAAAAAGTAAAAGTATAGCAAAAACTAAAATACATTTCAAAAAGGGAGGTGTAAGCAAACAAAAGAATATGGAAGAAATACAACTTTCTATTAATTTATTAATAACATGCTCGTATATATTTAATATATTTCTAATAATTTAACATGTCAACTAATTCAGTCGCTTCAACTAGAATTTCAACAGATTCAATCTATTTAGCTAATTCAGTGCTATCAAACATGTTTTAAATAAATAACATTTAGTTCTTACGAGCTACTTTTAAATGACGAAAACTAAAGGTACATTTAAAATAGTTCTAAATGTGTTTCAGCTTTACTATTGATGTTTAAAACATTTGTGAGCGTATGTTACATAATATTATTATCATCCATTGTTCATATACTCCCTCCGTCCCAATCTGATAGTCTCATTTCTTTTGGGCACAAGATTTAATAAAGTGGTTGAAAAGGTAAAAGTTGTGGTTGAGATTTGAGTATAATAAAGTGAAATGATATGGACCACATCTTTCTTTCTAAAAATGGAAACAATACCATCATTTTGGGACATCCCAAAAAGAAAATACAAGACTATCATTTTGGGACGGAGGGAGTAGTATATATCTAATTGTCTTTTATTCTTTAATTTTAGGTATTAAATGTTTATAACATTCAAATATACCTAGTAATATTCCTTTCGTCTCGCTAAGGTTGTCTCATCTTTTCTTTTCGTTTCGTTCCATTAATATTATCACATACCGAATTTGATAAATTTTGTGTGTTTTAAATCATTCTCCCTATATTCTTATTTTATCAATTCAATTTCAACCACATAAACTCACTAATCTCAATAAACACGTCACTCCCTCCTGCCTCATGTTAGTGGGACAGGGGTAATAATTTTTAGGACATACAACGTTTTTAACTTTTAATTGTGGTATACTCCATCTTAATTATTTTCAATTAAAAGATGCTCATTACTTTTGTCATAGAGATAAATATTTTGAGATAGATTATTGAAAAAGGTCATCTGGTAAACAGAAAATATTTATTGTACACGTTTTTCTAATTCACTGGGTCTTAAAACTGTCATCTACGAAATAAAAAATGTATTTATTTAAAAATAGGTTTTTATCAAATTATTCTCAGTGTTTTAATTTTAACTTTGGTTATATATGTGAAATTATTTCACCTTTTAAAGATGTTTTCCAAAAGTAAAACAATCATTCATTACTTGATGAAAAATCATATCAATATACTCCGTTTGTATCATAATATGTGCCGTAATAGGCTTTTCACGTAATTTAAGATATTTTATAGAATTATTCTATTTTGAAAACAAGTAGGAGAGTTTTTGGATTGTAGCGTCTCTGTTTACTTTATTTAAGTGTACCGTAACTTCTTTTGAGTGGATTTATTTCCAATTGTGACAAATATTTTGATACCACTCAGCAAAGAATATGTGACGCATTATGATATCGAGGGAGTATGTACTATACTGTATTCGAATACCAGTAACAAAAGTATAATGTGTCAAAGGAAAAAATCCAATTGTAATAAATAGTTATTATCCTAAATAGGACTAATGAGTCTCTAAAAAACACAAATAAGACTACTACTTTTTGAATTTCATAAACAGGACTAAACATTGATTTTCTACCCTAAATACCCCCTTAGAGTATTAATTCATAATAAAATCATACAAAATAATAAACCATAAATAATAATAATAAACATAAAAAAATTATAAAAATTAATAAATATTTTTAAAATAAAAATTAAAAAAATAAGTTTAAAAAAAATATAAGAAATATTAAAAACCCATTTAAAAAAAAAATATGAATGTCTTTCCCACCGCCTCCCAGCACCACCACCTCAGATCGGTGAAATTTCTGCCACTTTTTGTAAAAACATGTCATCTTTTTCTGAAATTGCCAAGAAAATGGCATAATTACACTTCATTATGCCAACATTTTCATTGAATGTATCATCATTATGGAATTATTTAAAATGTTGGCAAATTTCTCCGGTGATGGGAGCTGGTGTTGTTGGGGGTGGCAGAGGCGGCGGTGTTTTTTCTTACATTTTTTTACTTTTTTATTTTTTTAAAATAAATTTTTATTTTAAAAATATTTTATTAATTTTTTATTATTTGTTTACGGTTTTTATTATTTTTTTATGATTTTATTATTAATTAAAACATTTCAAAAGCTTCAAAGGGTATATTTATACAAACACACATAAATAGTCCTATTGGAGGAATTAAAAAATGTAATCCAATTTGTGCAATTTTTAGCCCTATTTAGGGAATTGACTCTTTAACATCTGAATAATGACAGATGTTGCGTCGCTACAACCGATGTGAAATCTTTTGGGAAATCGATGTGAAATCTTTAAGAGGGCAATTTTGCCATTATAAATATGCTTTTCCTAAATCGGTTATGGCTGAAACCGATGTGAAATCTTTAACATCGGTCAAAACCGATGTCATATATACTTTGGAGTGGCAGATTTGGTAGATTTTCTAAATCGGTTATATGAAAAACCGATGTTAAAAAGATTTGACATCGGTTATAGAACTGATGTGAAAAGTCTCTACTTTTCACATGGGCTGGAACCACATCGGTTGTTTGACTGATGTGAAAAGTCTCTACTTTTCACATGGGCTGGAACACATCGGTTGTTTGACCGATGTGAAAAGCTTTTTTTTACCGACATGAAAAACCTTTTTTGTACTAGTGTCAGTCAGAGTGAACTCCTCCAAAACACATCAGAAGTATGGTGTTTCTGCAAGGACAAATAGGGCTTTATTACCCATGGTTAGATCTACTATGAATTCATTTTCTCTTCTAAACATTCTTTTGAGGGTACGCGTTATAAACCTCAATATACATTCTGAATAGATTAATTAGTGAAAAATGTACTATATGAGTTATAGTATAATAAAAGACATATTCTTTCACATATTAAGTGTGGGTTGCCCTACATATTCACACAAATGTGCACTAATCAATTGAAAACTAAAAGTAACATAAAGGATAAAGACTTGTGGCTTCTTATGCTTCAGTTTTGGGGATTTAGGGTTCATGCGATAATGCTCAAATTGATTTAGTCAAGCTAAACATGAAATCTGTGAAACTCTAATCGAATGGTTGCAATATGCGCTCGAGAAAAGTGGATTTTGCAAATAATTTTGAGACGAAGGAAGTAGTTAATAGGAGTATGACTTATAAACCGAAAATATATGTTCCGAAGACTTTTATTTTCTATGCTTGGCGGAACAAAGCCCATTGTGTTCGGTCCAAGTCGGGTTTTTTGATAGACCGGGTTCGGTCCGGGTTTGGGTTGGGCCGGTTAAAGCCTGAATGTGAAATCATATCATTGTCTTTTTATATTTTAAAACCTATTTTTAAATAAAACTAATAAAAAACAGAAGCCGCAAATAATAACACATATATTAGTCTCCAAAATCACCAACAATTCAAATCCAAATAAGATAATTATCTTAATATTTTGTTTAAGATGCATATAAATAAATAATATAGGTTTTCTAAAAATATTACGGAATAAAACGTATGGATAAAAAGTGACTAAATTTACTATAATAAATATATTTCCATGATCATTATGGTAAACAAATTAAATATATTTTTAGTCACTAAAAGTTACTAGGTCATATTTTCATCCACCGTTATATTAAAGCTAATTGTTTCAGGTTTTTATCGGTCCGGGCCGGGTTATAGATTTTAGGGTCCGCTTATCAGCCCGTACTTTCGGGTTCGGTCCGTTTTTTTATTCGGGTCGGTTAAATAGAAAAAACCCGGACCGGGAATATCATTCGGGCTGGGCTAGGGTCGGTTTCTGAGTTTCGGTTCGGTTTTTGCCACCCCTACTGAACATTCATCGCCCCTGAGTTCTCCAGGCAGAAGGGTGCAGGTCTCCTGGCAGTAGAAGACTAGCAGGTCCGCAGGTTGCTAGGTACCTCGGCCGTTCTCGTCGTCCCTACGCGAGATAGTTGCGACCGTCAACCGATGGCCATGCGTGGCAGCATGATATGGAGCCGTGGATCTGGATTGCGGTCCTTCAGCATCGGTGGTGATATCCAGGGCAGTGAAAGGCGCTTCTGTGCTTGGCGGCAGCCAGGACGACTTCTGTGCTTGGCGGCAGCCACTGGCGGCAACTCCGCGACGGCGAGATCCGAGAGCGGGTAGGTGAGCCACGATGAAATACTTCTGCTGTAGCGCACTGCTCAGTGGTGGCCAGCACCGACATCTCCGGCGTAGATCTTGAAAATTCCAGAACTTTTTCCTTTTTTTTTTGCAATCCAGATCCGAAATTGTGATCGGTTTTTGGATTTCCCCAAACTGTTTTGATGTATTT